GAGCGTTCTCTCTGCCCCCCCCCCCCCACACACTCCGCCTCTATCTATTTCTGTCATGTTCATGCTCCTTTTCCCTCGTCCGAATTCCTACAAGATCTCAAAACCGGACATCCTCGCCAGCGACCATCCCTTGCTTCGTTACCAACTTTCACTTTTCCTCCCAACTTTTGCAGACTATACTCCGCGACAATACTATAAGACTTATCTATTCCTTTCCTTTCGAAATAAGTTCTTTTTATTGCTTTTGCAGCGTGCACGGCCGAGTCGTATCCTTGGAAAACAAATGGTTCGTTTCACTGTGTCGTGAAATATTCGCTATGTCGAGATGCTTCGAAATGTGTGATTCGACTTATTTTGCTGCGGACCGTGAGTTTGATTTGTCTCTTCGAGCGAAGGAGATCGACAAATTGATGCGAGCCACGGAATAGTGGCGAAATTCGAAAAGATTAACGTATCAGGACGCATTTAACATTAGGACCGAAGGTACTAAAAGCGCCAAGAAAAGATCGCGACGAAAGAAATTGGTGCGAACGCTAACGAATGAATCATTCGTCGATCTTTGAACGGAGTTGATTTAGAAGTAAAAGCAAAGGTATGCGAACGTATGCAAACCGGCGCATTCGTATAGAAATATCAATTGAAGTGCTAAACTGTGAACGTTGCTTCACGTTCTCATATCCCTTAGATTGAATAAACTATCGAACGAATGAAAATAAACGATCGCATAGTGTTAATTACATCCACCTCGTGATAACAATCGCTCAAATCCGAGCGATTAGGTAAGGAACTGATAGCACGATCTTCATTTCCACGAGACACGCGATGTCTGTACACACTTTTACCTCTTTTGGTCATTGTAGCTCCGGAGAACGTCCCGAGAAGTAAACAAATAATTGATTTCACGCGGAAGAAGAATTTTCTTCTTACGAGACGCACCTTATAGTATTGTCGCGGATTGTATTCGAATGCAGAAATTTCTCGAGCTCCGAACCGTTGACATCGTTTCACCAATGAAAGCATTTTTGTTGCAGAACGTTCGAGTACTTTTCTCGTCGGGTTTCCAACACTGTATAAAAAGCTAAATCTTTTTGACAAACTGAATAGTAAATTGAACCGGTGCTATGCTTCGCCGCGATATCGCTCGTTAAAGCGCGCGGATCGGTGTTATTCGGAGTGATTCGTTCATCCATCGAGTGATTTTCTAATTCGAGTTCAACGAATTTCATCGATCGAGCGACCCTACGAAGGCCCTAATTATGTCGGACAGTGGCAGCAGAAAGAAATACAAACACTTGACGGTGTTGCAACGGCTGGAGATAGTTAAGAAGCTTCGAGAGAACGTGCCTCCGAAAAGTTTAGCCGAAGAATTCGGAGTGACGGTTCACACGGTTTACAATATTAAAAGAAACGCTGCCAACCTGCTGCAAGACGTGGCCAACAAGCATCATTTGCATTACAAAACGAAAAAGATCAAAGGTCCCGTGCTCAGAGAATTGGATGACAAATTGTACCATTGGTTTTCGGAACAAAGCGCGACAGGGAACGCGATCGGTGACAAACTGTTGCAACAGAAAGCCGAAGAAATAAATCGAAATTGCGGCGGCCCGTCGGCGTTCGCTTGCAACAGAGCATGGGTGTGGCGATTTAAAAAACGCCACGGTATACAGACGGCGCAGACGGCCGGTGAAAGCGCCGACGCGGATTTCGAGGAAGCCGATCAATTTTCCGCGACTTTTTGGAAATTTGTCGAGGACGAGAACTTGAGTTTGTCGAACGTGTACAATATGGACGAAACCGGGCTGATGTGGAAGAGTCTGCCCCGGAAAAAGAGCCTCGTTCCTTCCGCCGCGGAAACGGCGAACGCGGACGAAACGAAGAAGGAACGCGTCGCGATCGGTTTTTGCGCCAACGTGACGGGCACGCACAAATTGCCCCCGCTTTTAGTGCACGACCGTAAAAAGCCGAAAGCGGCGAGGAACGCGAAAACGTCGAAAGCGACGCGAGGGGCGCGGAAAAGCGCGCGGACGAACGGAAAGATATTCCGAGATTGGTACGAGAACTTTTTCAAGCCTGCGGTGAGAGCACGGCATTTGAGAACCGGAGAAGTCGGAAAAGTGCTTCTTTTGGTGGATAATTGCGGCGCGCACGTTTTGCCGGCCGACGCGATGAAAGACGACGATTTCGAGTTGATGTATCTTCCGCCCAACGCCGCGTCCGCTATTCAGCCTATGGGCCAGGGGGTCGTTGCCGAGGTCAAGTCACGCTTTAGATTCAAATTAGCGGAAAAGTTGTCGGAGTGTCCCGGTGGGTTGGCGCAATTCGACGAACGGCACGATTTAACGGACTCTATGGACATTTTGAACGCCTGTTGGGAAGAGGTGACCGAGCAAACTATACGCGGTTCGTGGAAACACGTGCTAGGGAATAACGGCGAGGAAATAGAAATGGAAACTGGCCGTAATTCCGAAAGCTCTTCTTTGACAGAGATATTACAAAACTGTCCGGAGACAGCTGTTGCCCGAGAAGACGTGGAGGAGTGGCTCGCGTTGTGTCAAACGGAAGAAGAACAAATATGGGATGAAAATGGAACCGAGGAAGACGAAGACGGCGAGGACAGAGAGGAAGAGGAGGAGGAGGAAGAGGAAGAAGAAGAAGAAGAGGAGGAAAATGCAACGATGTTCCAAGACGAAGACGTGGCGAAAGCCCTGGACATTATCGTGCAATGGACGAAACAATTCGACGATTCCGTGCAGTTGCATGCCAACGTGTTGAAAGCCTTTTTTTACGAAACTAAAAAGGACCGATAACGTCGATGTAGTTCGTCAAGTGTTCGTAAAGACTTTTAAGAAATAGTTTAATCGAAATCGAGTAAACAAAACTGTAACCGTATAATTTTTAATAATCGTGTCTCAACGTGGAGCGATCTACGATAAAAGTAAAGTCGATTCGCGTCGTGTTTGGACCGATTTTAATCCGAAGAATCTCGACTATCCGTTGGTGCTACAATTACGAAGGTAAGGCGACAATCACCGACAATGCAATTTTCTCTACTGCATGTCTATTTTTTGCTAGTTACGATATCCCTTTAAACACCGAACCTTAACGTCTCGATAGCATTTCGATCGCAAGATGCAAAATGCGTTTGCGCAACCGATTGTCGCGTTTATTTGAGGAAGTATTTCGGTGCACTTATTTATACGTGTATTACTTGTACTACTTCGCTATGATTATAGCAGAGCCTGCAACGTTGGCTCTGCTTTTAATCGCTTGATGGGCTTCCTCGGGCGACGACATTTTTACGGTATAAGTAGGTCGATTCTTGTCGCTATTTTCTTCTCAAACTTTCCGATTACAGAGACTTTTGATCGTCGATCTGAGAAATATGCGGAATAAGCTCGCGGCGATTAAAAATGGCAGCGAACAAGAGAAGAGGATAACGGTGAAATTGAAAACAAAGGGAAAAAGGAAACGGTGGACGATGCAGCGTGCGATTGTAGTTTCCTCAAAAACTCTGCTGTGAAAACAAACGCTTTAAAAAGGACAGTTTTAAAAGGACAGACAAAAGAACAAGGACTACATATGTACACGTTATAATAAACGGATCGTTTATAGCATAGTAAGTCGTTGAACTCGTCTCAATACCGTCTAGAATATTATCCAGTCAAAAATATGTATCAACATTTAAAAATCCGAGGTGACCAGCATTTTTCATAAAAAGATTTTTTTAGAAGCTTTAATATTAATTGTTGCCGCATCCCCGCCCCGTATAGGAGCACAAACTGGACGGTGAATATCAAGAGCCTTTTCCCCTTGCCCGGCCTGCCACCATAGCCGCATCATCGCCCACCCTTAGGATGCGGTCCAAGTAGGCGAGCTTGCGGTCCAAGTTCACCCCCCGAGTACCTTATCGAGCCGCGAGTTCTTGTCACCTCGGTTCCCACCATCACCGGTACGGACCTCCGCATCGTCTGGTTCAACAAAAGCCGAGCCATCTTCGCGGTGCGGTCATAATAACGAGATACGCCCTTATTTGCAGACTACAGTTTAAATTTTGCGCGACTCCATGCATCGATTAATCCGTGTACTAATCACCGGATAAATGTCTTTGTCGCGGATAATCGTTGTTAGTTGTCTAATCTCGAGGCTAGCGAGATTAGCGAGACTGTCCGAGTTATAGATGCGACTATAGATAAATATCGACCGATATATCTATATATTACCGATGATGCGATACATTTATAACATCGTTAAGATAAATGCGAACTACGAAGCTTGGATGATCGAGCAAAGTAAAGTGTGACGAATTTACTACTTTGTCAAACGTTCTTACCTCTGTTTGTACCGATTACATCAGCGCATTTGTCAACTTTTGCCGCAGTCGGCTTCTTTTGCGAGCGATTTCATTTTTCTTTGTATATTACAGACGCGTATTAACACTATATAACAAGCGAATAGATACAAAAAGAAGTAGCCACCCCTAAATAGGGCCGACGACCAACGCCACCGAATATACCCGCTCTAATCGTTTCTCGATGAGGACGAGACTAAACTCGAGTGTAATCGAACATTTTTTTTACCGATACGTAATGTTGTAATAAAAATTGTAATATTATTAAAGACAGTCAAAAGTAATGTCGTGTTTGGTGATATTTCTTCGAAACGTTCCTTTGCGTGACTTTTTTTAAAATTGGACCGAATGAGGTGACATTTTCCAAGACGTTGGACCGATTGGTCTATTAGACGGTCTCTAAAACAATTTTAGCAAAAAATTAATATAGTAAAAAGCAATAATTACGTCTTTTCAACTTCTCCAAACCGAGCCACGCCTAAATTTTCGTTACTCTTTCTCATTTTTCTCATTTCATTTCTCTTCTTCTTTTTCCTTTTGTCTCAACCATGGGAAATTATCGTCGTTTTCAACATGGGCCTGCTCTCGTTGCTCACACACTTCGATGTTATCTCGTAAATTGTACTGATGCGGCATAATTAAAATGTATAGCCAGTGGCAACAAATGAGGGATACGGATGCATTTTATATGCTAAGCAAAAATAACCTTTAATTAGCGTAATTGTAACCGTTTCACGGTTACGGCGCGATGGAGAAACGAATCGTTAAAATACCCATGTTGAGCTTGCTAAGCGAATCCGACTTTGAATCTTTACTACGAGAACGGTTCTCCTTGCAGGAGTTCTAACAACAATAAATGAAATATTCTATTCACAGTTCGCAGCTTCGTCGACGTTAGCCACTATTTGCTCTCGTTTTACAATAATACATTTGTAAACGAGAGATCTTTCGAATTTTCTTCGAGTTTGTGCGTTTGAAAAAAATTTCGTCGACTCGCCGAACGCGAAATAATTTCAGTCGCCTTCGATTTCATGAAAGTCTATCGATTAAATCGAAATAACGGGCGTACGTTCTGATTGCAGGTTCGAAGGTCGTTGAAAATACCAGGACGACGAAAGGAGAAAGAGAAGTTACCGAGCGGCATCACCGCGGACTATAGTGCTTCGTTTTTCGCGTACTTAGATCGGGATCTGTTAGAAAATTCCCAAAACTCGTCGAATTCGGGGCAAGGTGCGCGTGTTAATAACAATTCGACGAATAGGACGCCGGATGGTTTGATACAGAGTGACTCGTCGGAAACTTCGTTGACTTCTTTAACTATCAACACGTTGTCGTCGGCGACCTCGGTGAACGCCATCGGCCAGTTGGTTAAAAATTTGCCGCCGTTACCACCGAAGCCGCCCAAACGGGGAATTCTGAAGGGGTCGCGTCTGAGTGCTAGCAACGCGTCGAACGCACACGCGGAGGAGAACGCGTTGTCGAACGGCGACGAAACTAATTATCAAGAACCGAACAACCTGTTAGCAAGAAACACCCTTCAAAATGAAGTGATCGCCTATCAGAACGTGCCCACGCATTTGCACGGATTGGGAACCGCTTTGAACAAAGAAGACGTTTGCAGCGAAGAAGAAACGTTAGCCTGTCCGAATTCCTGGCAAATTTCACCCCAACGGTCTGTCCAATATAATCAGCAACAGCAACAGCAGCAAGAACAACAACAGCAGTACAATCACCATCATTATCATCATCCTCAACATCATCAGGGCGATACGAAGCTTTTACAAGTTAGTGGATACAAATAAATAATTAATCTGGCTTGTATAATATTTCTATTTTATATAGCAGAGTGCTTTTTACGCGTATGAAATTGAGTCTTCTGACTCTTGTGACTTCGAATCTAAACTTTGTCGATATACGAATTATTTTGGAACGTGATAACGATTAGAATTGAAATAATATATATTATTTGATATATTTGAATATATTAATTAATATAATATGGGGGGTATATAGTGTTACAACAATTGAAATTATCCCGGGAGGTTCCGCGAAGAAACCGTTCATCGGTGGTAATCTTATTTGCTCTGAGCAAGTCCACCCCCTGCCCGTCAAAAATGTTAGAGAAACATTCGAAGGTGGAGGTTTTCCGGCGCGTTCGAAATGAAAACTAAACTATGGTTTCCTTGTCGTGTCGCAGGTGGTAACCAGTGCTAGTCCGTCGGCGGATTCCTTAACGGATACGACGAATTCAAGTTTTGCCACGCCGCCCTTCAGCCTGTCGCCGATCGGAGAATCCCAAGGTTTCGTAAGATGGCGGTCGACGGTGTCGTTTGAGGAACACGGTGTCGAGCTACAACTGCCCGAAATTATACCGTTGGAACTGCCGGAACCTCGAGGGTTGACGATCTATCGGCAACCACCCCCGCGAAACGATTTCGGATTTTCGTTGCGCCGCGCCGTTGTCGTGGAAAGGGCCGCCGGAGGAGGTGGAACACAGATGAGATCGGTGATTTTTGCGGAACCCGGTTCGCTGGTACAACACAACAACGACACCGGCCTGTTACCCGGCGACAGGTTAATCGAGGTCAATGGAATCAACGTTGATGATAAATCACGCGAGGAAATTATCGATCTCATCAAGCGGTCCGCCAACAGCGTCGTGGTAAAGGTAAGTCCAGCGAGTCAAATTATTCTTTGTTTCCAGCGTTCATTTGATGTTCCATTCACCCGATAACAAACGACGGCAACGCTGATTCAGATTAAATTGAACTAAAATTAAATTAAATTAAAGTTTTTTTTTATTTTTATGAATGTGTTCTGCGAGCGTGGACGACGTTGATCTATTCGAGTGCATGATGGAAAAACGTTAAGTGGTGTGCGTTCTGTTATTCTATCATTCTATCGTACTTTTATAAGCTCGGTTCATTATTCTCGCAAATGGTACCAACGATGAGAGCTCTCTCTTTCTCACTCCCTATCTCTTATTTAACGATGCACGGAAATTTTCAATCGATGGGGCAACGTTGATCTTTCGCGAAGAATTTAATGTTAAATGTAGCTTGCGGTGAATTACGGGTTTTCAAACGTTTCCTTTATTATCGACGGGCGATGTCATTTGTCAAACAAATCGGTAAAGCTGCGATCTAGGATAATTTATGTTATTTGTCACAAATAGAAACAATCGAACAGTTATCTGCACTAAATGATCGGAAAGTATTATTCACGCACTCTCATTAAACCTATCAAGCAGTAATAGTATTTGGCATGTAGTGCTTCATACAAGTGAGAAGATCGAATTTATTTAGATTTCGTACAGTTTTGATTATAAAACCAGCAACAATAATGTTATTTATTCAAGCATTTTCCATGAACGAGTCTATAAAGTTTGCAGAAATGCAAAATAAGGAAACGGTTACATATTTTCACCGCGATAGGTTTAGTGTTAATTATTTCTAACAAGGAAGAGTTAGTTTGCGCTGCTTCCGCTCGAGCCGTTAGGTGGCTAGCATCGTAAATCCTTTCTCGCAACTAAGATGATGCACCGATTAGCATATAATAGGCGTACTGTCAATCGTCTTTGCCGCAGTCCGCTTTTCGGTGGACTCGGTCAGTATCTGAAGGATCCCTAGCGTGGGCAGTTCACTGCACACATATAGGTCGATCCGATTTTTGGGGAACCCGTAAGGGTTCCGCGTTAAATGTCAGGTGTCCCCTGGATAGAAGAGGAGCGGCGTCAACCTTCGATGGACTTTTAGGTGCTCGGAATTGCGGTAGCGTGCGAGTATGGGTTATGCGGAATGATTGTAATGCGATTGTAAAGCGTGTTTGTATCCTAGAGTTAAGAGCGAATGAAGCGGCGTTCAGACAGCAAGAGGATGGAAGTGAGAGAGTGCAGTGAAAAAGAAGAGGATGTGTAGTGAAAGTGAGAGAGTGATTGCAGTGAAAAAGAAGAGGAAGTAGCCAATAAAATTAATTGTACATATATTGTAAAAATTAAACCCAAAAATTGAAATAAAAAAATTTAGATTAAAAAAGAATTGAGATAAAAAAGAGAGATAAAAAGAATTGAGANGGATCCCTAGCGTGGGCAGTTCACTGCACACATATAGGTCGATCCGATTTTTGGGGAACCCGTAAGGGTTCCGCGTTAAATGTCAGGTGTCCCCTGGATAGAAGAGGAGCGGCGTCAACCTTCGATGGACTTTTAGGTGCTCGGAATTGCGGTAGCGTGCGAGTATGGGTTATGCGGAATGATTGTAATGCGATTGTAAAGCGTGTTTGTATCCTAGAGTTAAGAGCGAATGAAGCGGCGTTCAGACAGCAAGAGGATGGAAGTGAGAGAGTGCAGTGAAAAAGAAGAGGATGTGTAGTGAAAGTGAGAGAGTGATTGCAGTGAAAAAGAAGAGGAAGTAGCCAATAAAATTAATTGTACATATATTGTAAAAATTAAACCCAAAAATTGAAATAAAAAAATTTAGATTAAAAAAGAATTGAGATAAAAAAGAGAGATAAAAAGAATTGAGATAAAAAAGAGAGATAAAAAGAATTGAGATAAAAAAGAGAGATAAAAAAGAAAGATAAAAAAAATTGAGATAAATAAAATGGCACGAGCAGTGGTTATTATTAGAGAACCATGCTTTTTTTTGTACCCTAGCGTGTTAAGAGCGAATAAAGCGGCGTTCAGACAACAAGAGAATGTGTAGTGGAAGTGAGAGTGAGTGCGGTGAAAAAGAAGAGGATGTGTAGTGGAAGTGAGAGAATGAGTGCAGTGAAAAAGAAGGGGATGTGTAGTGGTAGTGAGAGAGTGAAAGAAGTAGCCAATTGTACATATATTGTAAAAATTAAATAAACCCAAAAATTGTATAAGAATTCACATAAATAAAACAAAATAAAGTTGCACGACCATGCTCAACATTAACTTATAAAGATACGATCACATGAATTAAATTAAACTGTTTAAGAGCATGGTGTCAATGTAAAGACCGTGCTCGACATAAAAATTTAAAAAATAATTGTACACGATCAGTTTTATTTGTATTTTCTATTCGCTGGGTTCGCGTTGCCTACTTTTTAATCTCTGAAACTACAGCCTGATTGTCCGTCTTCCTAGGGTTTAAGAGTGCGTGAATCGATCAATTTGAAAGATTAACTGCGAGATGCCGTAATTGTCGTTTCCATTAAATAGCCGCTACTACAATTAGTACATACAATTGACACCTCGAACAAATGTTATTATATAGTTCTATGTGCACAGGTGCAACCAGTTGCAGAACTGTCAGAATTATCGAGACGAGGTGACAACGAAGGGCAACAGGTTGAGCTTGCTGCCGCGAATATTCGTAGCGGCACGCTTCGACGATCCGGTAGCTTACGACTTCAAGATAGCATGGTAAATATTTTTATCGATATTTTATTTTTGAAACCGATTTAATATGCTTTCGATCGGTTTGTCTATCTTAGCCTTTATTCAACCCTTTCCTCTCTGTATTATTCGCGTATAGTATTTCGCGAGAATTTAGTTGCTCAAACATCGGATACTCCTTCATTTCGTTTCACGTAATTTTTAGAATATCGGTATTAATTGATCGAGCGATAGAATCATCCCGACATTCGAACATGGCAGACGTTCAACTATTTGAAATTGTATCGTACCGAATTGTACCGGCCTAACTGTCGAACATTTTTTAAATTGTGATCACGAACCACGCCGTTATGTGTCCTTTCGGATTCATTACGGATGCGCATAGCGAGAGACGGTTATGTTGGGAATGTTATAGTAGCGTAAACTGTTGATACTATCGACCGACGAGCGTAGCTCTTTCCCGCGAATCGAATGGATGTTGCATTTATTTGTTCGCTTGCTATTCGACAAACAGGCACGGTCCGAAGAACACTTGGCGCAGGAACAGGCATGGCTGAATTACGAAAAAATTTGGTTGTTGCATCGAGGTGGTTTCACTCTCGCCACGAGGTACGGCTCGGCGGATCCGGATACGGGAAAGTTGAGGATTCGGTTGGCTACTTCCGGCGAGGAACTTCTTGTGGACGAAGAGGATGTGGAGAAGGTATTAATAGACGCATACATTAGCGCGACGCTTTATCGGTGCCGCTCGCCGGAATCGTCGTTAGCGGTTCGGAACTGTCTCCTTCTTTTAGTTTCAAATCGTATCGAACAAAGATAAGAAATTAGATAACTATTACTCACCGCAATCCCGTAGCTTTGCAACGAAGATGACGTAACCCCGGAAATTGTTAGAGGTCTGCTCACACTGTCTCACTCGCAACTCACTTTTTTTATTTTTAACACTTTAAAGTGGAATTTTTCTTAATATATTTGTTAACGTACAACCACAGACACCTTCCTGTTGGCGACTCTAGCCCAACTGACGGTTATTAAACAGTCGGGACCTTCGAGACGTATATTCTTTGTTTATGCTAAATCGGGCCTTCCCACCGTTCGACCTATATCGGCGATTACCCGAGGATTTCGGAAACGCCGTCGACTTTATCTAATCCCTTTTTTGTCCTAGACTACGCATCATTATCAAATGACAATTTGTGTTTATCTATGCGTCACGAATCTCGCGGCTCTTCTAGAGTAGTCTGGCGGCCCCCTGGATTATCTCCCTGATTGAGAGTTTTCATTTTTTATATAATATATCATATGTACATGCTGGCCGCTCTCGCTCTCTCTCTCTCTCTCCCTTTCAAGTTGTCGATTTTCGATTCCAAGCTGAGGGACAATTAAGAGTAACGATTGGTGGAGAGATACCCCACCACTATTTGCTTCTGTTCATTTTTGAAATTGCATCGAAATGAAATGAATCATCTGTTTCGTCTGTTTTGTTCGTTTCAGGCAAATCCACCGCAGTTCGACAAGGCCGAAGAGCTGTCCCGGCTGCGGTTTCTTAACGAGTCTTCTGTTCTTCACACACTGAGGCAACGTTACGCTAGTAATTTAATACATACTTATGCGGGCGATAGTATGATCATCATTAATCCAGTGGCACCATTAGCAATTTACTCGGAGAAGGTAAATAGCTTTTATTCATCTTGGCACTGTCCGTCCACGAGAAGATGCCACAGAGAAACTTGTAGGGATGATATACCTGATACACCAACTACTTGCTATGCACGGACTGTGTCTAAGAATGGGGTCTCCCCGCACCCCGCTGTAGACATCTGTGTCACCTTCTCGTGGACGGGTAGCATGTATTATATAAAACGTATCGTTGTTTACGTACGATCTCATCGAATATCGACCAACGTCACCGTATTACATCCTCTTATGCTAATTATTACCATCGAATATATCGCGTAGAATTTATAATATCGTCGACTGTAGATCCTACGAAGCATTTTAAACAAACTTCAGTCGATTGGAATGTATAAATGGCGCAGTGAGGTAATCGAGATCCCACATTAGAAATGTATAATCTATCTATACGATTTCATTAATCAAACGCTGTTGATCTTTATTCTAGCAGCTACGCGAGAATACAATGCATACGTTTATTCTTTCTTCTTACTCGCACATAATTAATTACAAGATTAAAATAATATGTACATAGTTATCCTTCGGTTTCGTATTTTATTTTTTGAAATATATTTTTTACAAATCACACAAATATTCGTTTTATTTGCATTATCATTTCTTTCATATTATCCCTACAATTAGGATTTTTTGGCTATTTGTTCTTTTTCACGCAAGTTATCGTTCCTCTTATGACAATTTCTGCTCGTACAGTCGGTGTACAAACTGTTCATATACCTTTTGAAACGGAATAATTTTGTTATAAATCTGATTATTATATCATTATGTAAAAAGTCTCATTGGCCAAAAGTGGATTACTAAAATTCTTCTAAAAGTATAAATGACACTATTCGGTTACTTGGAAACCGAAAGCTGTTTGGAATCACAGTTTCATAGTGTCCACGAGTGAAAAAAAAATTGGCTCTCCAATGATTTTCCTTTGTTAAGGTGGCGCTTATGTTCAGAGGATGTAAGAGCGAAGATGTGCCTCCTCATGTTTATGCAATGGCGCAAGCAGCTTACAGAGGGATGTTAGCAACTCGAAGAGATCATTCCTTAGTTTTCCTCGGCCGTAGCGGATCGGGCAAAACTACGAACTTTAAGCATGCTCTTCATTATCTTGTTCTGGCTGCTGGTACAGTTAATAAAGTAAATAAATACCTTAACATTTTTACGTATAATCCATTGGTAACTGCGTTTACGCTAATGTTGTATTACAAACGATGTTCAAACAATTATTGTATTTTTAAAGATCCTGACTATTGAGAAACTCAATGCCGTCTTCACTGTCCTAGAAGCATTTGGGAATTGCAAAACATACATGAATTCGAATGCAACACGATTCACTCAACTATTTAGTTTAGACTTCGATCAATCGGGGCAGATTGCGTCCGCCTCTTTACAGGTAATACGATACGTTTGTCCGCATTATTATCGATTATATTTATGCTTGCTTTAACTTATTGCAAATGCGACTGCCTTTTAGTCTATTTATATCCTATAGTTGATCTGAATTGGTTTTGTCTGTGCGTACAAGGTGCTACTATTAGAGAAGTCGAGGATAGGTAAACGAGCAAACGGGGATCCAACCTTTCATGCGATGTACCGCTTGCTGGCAGGCGCCGAGGGTGTCTTAAGAAGGGAATTGCATCTTACGAATTTAGTCGCGGAAAATAATTCGTTCATCACGCCTCTGCAGAAGCACGAAGACAAGCAGCGCGCCATGGTGGAATTTAATCGGATCGTGGCCGCCTTTAGGACTCTTGGTATATCGGAAACCGATGAAAAAGCGATTTGGCTAGTACTCACTGGTATATATCACCTGAGTTGCGCGGGTGCCGTCAAAGTCGGTACTAGTTCTCAAAGTCGATGGCAGTTTGCGAGAGTAGAATGCGCGGAGAAAGCAGCCACATTATTGGGAACCACGGTCGAGGAATTGAGTAGAGTAGTGTTCTCTTGGAACGGAGGTGGTGGCACACCCAATACTCCAAGGCCGACATTGCGAACTCCAAGTCCTACGGAGCAAAGCAAGGACATAACTGGACTCGATGCTCTCGAAGGACTTCTCATCGGGCTTTATTCCGAAGTGTTTCACTGCATCGCGGCTCATATTAATAAGTACGATCACGTGTTTAGAATATATCCTCCCTTATAATCGCGCGAGTCGGGCAAGCAATTAGAGAAAATAAAATTATTATACCAATTTAGCTATACCCTTTTCTACGGCAGTTTCATTGGCCGATCGTTTGTCCTTGTATTATAGAGAAAACGACATACAATGATGATGATCATAATTTTTTGTTGATCCACAGATCCATATCATCGTCCGTGCACACGGTCGCATCTTTATTGCTGTGCGATTCACCGGGTTTTCAGAATCCTGCTACCTGCGGGAGACAAACCGGAGCTTCTTTCGAAGATCTATGTCATAATTATTTACAAGAACGTTTGCAGTTACTATTTCATCATACGACACTGATAGCTCCGAGAGACAGGTGCCAAATTTCATCAAGTAATTCTATATTGTATCTAATTGTAAATCTAGGAGAGTCTCGTCCAATTATTAAAAGCGTTGTCGATAACTTTCGTAAGCAATACGAATCTGTGAATTTAGTTGATTTTTGTACGTAAGTTTTTGAGAAACTTATTTAAAAAGATCAATTTTTTTCAATCGATTACAACCCCCTACTAAATTTTAGAAATCGGATAAAAAATTAGAGTTCGTTGTACAGTATAACAAGCTGTTTTGCTTATGAAATTATTAATTACCACAAGATTACGTCGAGGGATATTTATGGTTCGTAAATGGAATTTAGGTACATCCAAGAAGGAATTGACGTAGATTACGAAGATGACTACGATGAAAATGGTATCGGATCTCCACAAGGTTTGATTTCATTATTGGATCGTGGAAGTTCCCAAGGTGCAACAATGTTGCGAACTAGCCAAAATGATCTTAGCGGGGGTAGACAGATGGAACGAAAGGGGCTTTTGTGGTTACTAGACGAAGAGGCAGTGTGCCCCGGAGGTAGCGACGAGACTTTTTTAGATCGACTGTTCTCTCATTACGGCGATCGAGGTATATCTTCTATACATACGTATGCATACAGCAAGTGCTAAAATTTGCATTGAATCGTGTAAAATTTTGTCTTCGAACAGATCACCAGATTTTATTGAGGAAAGCACCCGGTAGCAATCAGTTCATTTTGCAACATTTATTGGGGACTAATCCTGTGCTATACACGGCCACTGGTTGGCTGAAAGCTACTCGAGAAAATCCGGTTACTAAAAGTGCCATTACAATTTTCCAAGAAAGCACAAGGTATTTTCACATTTCTTACAAAGACAATCGACAATAAGGTGTTCTTTACATTTCTTTTCTATACAACACCTTTTGTTTTGATATCAGAGAAGATGTAAACATGCTGTTTGTAAACGCGCGAGGTGCTGGAGTCTCTGGAACTTTATGCAGTTCGATGCCCGGCTTAGAAGGTTCGCAGTCTTTGAGAAGAGCTTCGAGTATTAGACGAACGTTTACGGCTGTGAAAAGGAAAAATGTTTGTCTGCAAGTTAAATTTACCGTTGTAAGTACAAAAATGATCGTTATCGTTGCTTATAAATGACTACGTTATTTGTTGTATCGGCACATACGTGTTTAATGTTTCTTATATTATATTCGACATTTTTTTTATATATATTGCAAATAAAATATAATTTGTAGGATGGCCTGGTCGAGACATTGAGGAGAACACGAGTCAAATTCATCCATTGTGTATTGCCGCAACACACTTCTGGTAGCACCGACAGTAAAAGCTTATTATCCGTCAAATCTAATCAAAACGAAGACAGTATCATTAACGTGCCCCTTTTACGTTCCCAGGTAAGCATTTCAAATATGTATGAAACACAATACTTCTACCTATCAATACTTACACTTTACAAACTATCAAGTTACGTATAATATTTTAATATAATTTGTTTAAAGTATGTTACTTTTTATGTAGTTGCGAGGAAGTCAAATAATTAACGCCGTTCGGCTGCACAAGGTCGGATTTCCTAAACATATGGCATTAGGTGAATTTAGAAGGCGATTCAGACTATTGTCCAGCGAATCGAACGTTCGACCGGGCAGCCCTGTAGGCGATGAACGTCGTACCGTTGAAAACATGCTACTGACCGTTGACATTGATCCAGCTTCTTACCGAGTCGGACAAAGCCAGGTAAGTCGATTGAGAATTTCATTTACTATTTTACTTCATTTTTAAAGGCACGTTTCTTCCATTCTTTTATCATTTAAAACGCATCAATATAGACTGAGACAAACAAATGTTTGATTTAAAAGCAGCACTCTTAAATTTCCTTAAACTTGCATAAAATTGTCTACATTTCTATTTGGTTCATGATACGGAATCAACGTGAAATTATATATTGTTATAATTATATTATTGTCAACACGAAAGCGAGAGAAATTATTTTCTGGAATGTAAATTATATTCCTGAAATTCGTTTTTCCTGAAAGACGTGGACGACTGTTTCGTTCCATACATTCACCTAAACAGCAATCTCGAAAATTGAATAAATATCCTGTTGTAAACTGAGCACATATGATTTCGAATGCACAGGCAGCTGGTAAGTAAGCTAAAGAATGTCAAACAACTTTCTCTAGGAAGTATTTCAGTCACAATGCCGGTAATAGCAGGTGGTATATCGTAAACCGGTGAGGATACTACGCTCCATCGAATTGGTTTTCAAATTATTTACTTTTGCACAGATTTATTCTACCGAGATTAATGCGATTAAAAAGGGGATACGATTTGTTATATAAATCGAAAATGGGAACCGGTTCTCCTCGTGCGGTATTGCGATTTCGAAAAATTATTTATCCGGTTAATTTTACAATGACGTTTATCGTATCGTTGCGATTATCGCTGAAACACAGAACGATCGCGAGAGGATAGAGCTTGAAAATCGGTAATCTTGATAACTCGATCATTAGCACACGCGGTTAAAAACTTCTGATCTCGTCTCGCATAATATTTAAACAAAAAGATCCAAGGGTGTTGTGAATCCGACACTTCGCGAGCCGATGCATTGTTCGCTGGACAGCCTCCTTATTGAAAGAACATTCGATTTCTTCGCGAAGCAGAGTTATATAAAGATTATTTAACATAATCGATTAAAGTTAACGTTAACGTTATTTAACGTAACAGTTAACGTTAATTAACGCATTTTAGTACATTCAAAGTGAAAAAATGCTCGAACAACACGATTCTCAAAGTCGTTGCCACGAAACTCTAGATGAAAGTAAATGTGATATCGAAGAAATTTATGATGTTGCAATATTCTGCAGACGCTTGCTTTCGAAAAGCCAGAGGAACGTGCGATTTTTCGACAACTTCAGCATCGATATCGATCGTAGCCGACGCAAAAGTTTCGGCATCTTCTTCGGTAGCAGGTTTCGACCGTCCTCTTTTCAGTGATTTAATACTCCCTCTTTTACAAAACAATCGAGCTATGCGGTCAGAACTTCGTCGACGAGGATGATTTCTCCCGCGTGCATGTGTACGCGTACGCGCACGTGCGCGCACACGTATTATATATTCGTCACAGATTTTCGCCGCGGATCTGAAATGTCGTCGTCGAAGATCGGGCTCGGCGCGACGATTCGTAACGAATCTATCATTAAATTTTCAATTAGTACCGCGATATGCCGGAGGAAGAGTGCGAGAGCTCGCGTGCAACCGTTTGACCGTGAAAGTACAAGCTGGCAAGTATTTCTCGCAATAAGAGCGACACGCAGCCCGTGACTTTCTCGTGGCCTAGATAGAAATCGTTGCACTCTTCGCAGTCTCTCTGTGTTCACAGAATTCAGTGTTCTTCCAAAGCTTTTTCGTCGCGAAAGTGTTTCATCGCGCGCGCATGCTCCTTTCTTCTGTTTTAGTTCGGATCCACGGGCCCGATCTCTCGACGCTGTCTTCCATTTGTAAAACTCCGGGACCATAAAACACTCGTGTTCCTATTAAATCGTCGATAATAGCACCGCGACCGCGTCGTTCCGTGAAACATCTTTGAAAACCAATCTAGTCGATAAATATTGCAAACACAGAAACTGCCTGTCTCGTTCCAGGAAATATAAACCGTTGCACGTTACTTTATCCTATCAACGATTTCTTTTTCTTCTTTTTTTTAATTAATGCCATCTTTCCGAGAAGCGTTATTATCCGATAAATTATTTATAGTTTACAAGACATATATTGTCTGAAGAAAATTTCCATTTCTCTACACGATCCGAGCGAGCATCGATTAGGGAGAATTTGCTGTAGTTGGATGCATAGAAGATTTCCGCCTCGAAAAAGCGTGTAACGAAGCTTCGGCTTCTGTCGGTTTGAAACGAGAATCGCAATCGCTTCTGGATGTCTTCGCTGACGAGATCTCTTTCCCGAATCAGGGCGAGAATAAGGAAGAAAGAAAATCTGTACCGATAGAACCGCATTCTATTCAGGAATGTCACGTGGAAACGCATTTCGTATTTGTTTCGGGAGCGGAAAGACGAAGCCACGGTTTTTAACCCGCATAAATCCGGCTCCATCCTCTAATTAGAAAGCTCGGAAGACGAGCGAGGCGCTGAACCACTCCGGGCTAAACGGACGATAGGTCGTCGTAACGCGGCTATGATCGCTGTCGTGCGGTAGTAAAGTTAGATAAGGCAGCAACGGGGGAGCCAGTTACCGTGGGGTACGCCATTACCGTGCCTTTAGTTTATTTTCAAGCATAATTAACTTTGTATCCATCGAACAAAACATACTGGAGTTCTTTCTTAAACTTAAAACCAATTACAGTAAATTCTCCCTAATAGTCCGCGTTACGGCCTTCCCGGGATTGTCCCTGTGCCATTTATACGCCTGTACGCGTTGTTCCTGCGCCTCTGTTAAGGTTCGACGGAGTCGGCGAAGCGTATGATGCGACACGCGACGCGACACCTTTGACTCGAATTCGAGAACTCGCGATACGATGACGTAACTTCTTCGATTTTAACGTTTTACAAGTGAATCTTTTTTTAACGCGTTGCCGACAGGTTTCCGATTAAAATGAGACCAGACACGATACAGTTTGGACCGATACTTCCGATTACGTAAAATAAAATCAATCGCGATGCAATCGAGTAAATACGGTCCGAGGCATGTCGTGCTTGGTCTCATTTTAATTGCAAGAATCTCGTCGATATGTTCAACAAAACTTTCACGTATAAAACATTAGAAATAAGAAAGTTGAGGCATCGTTTTTATTCCAGCATTATCGGCTGCTACACATGTATCTAGGATGACTGCAAAATCGTGGTACGAGTCGTTGCGTCGGATTGCGGTTGTTGATGCAGAAATCAGTCGGGAGAAAGAATAGCGTATGTTTGGTCCGTACGTCGCGTCGCGTCGCACGTCATCCATACGGGCAGTGCAATGAAAAGCCTCGTTGCACGCCAACAGCAGTAGAACCGGTAATGAAGTAGATACTTGTGTTCTGTTATACAGGGTGAGTCGCGTAACTTGTACAGCTCGAATAACTTTTCAGCTGTCCGCTTTGTTGATACGCCGTCGTTTGGAACTGTTGCGACCGTGCTACTTTCCTATTCGACGGTTCTTCGTAAAACGCATAATTATATATAATAATATAATATTTGTATATATAAAACGCACTATATGGCATTATCGCGATATAATAGATCTCCTTGAACCGAACGATTTTTGTTAATCAAGTTTTAGTCGAGACACCCTGTACAATACACGTGATCTATCCGCTCGAATTAGTCTGTTTATAGAAAGAGAAATTAATTGTTACGGAATCGCGAGACGTTTGCCAGATTCATAGGTGATTTATTTATTGGTAAATACGTTCGAGACGCTGATTCGACTGTGTTGGAGCTTGTGAACTGGAAAGTACGTAAACCGATACACGAAGTTCATTCCGGAAATGAAAAACAGTTCGCTTTTAAATGCGGCATTTTGCAAAGTCTCGGACCGAATCGAGGCCCCGTAGAAACGTAATCGTTACAGGAAATTAGCATTGTCGTAAAATGGTACGTCTATAATTTATTATTTTCTCATCGGGACGAACTGTCGAGTTTTGAATGTTCTTGCGGGGACGCGGTTCAATAGTCGCTTGTTTTTGCTTTTATTTGGGATGCGCGCAACCGAGAATATTAATTAAAATAATATTCCATACATGGTTTTCGGAACGGAAGCGCGACCGCTAATCGGCGCGTGCCTTTTATTCGTGCGTGTTCGATTTCGTTAATTCGAAACTGTTTCTCCGGTCGTACGCGTTTTTCGTTAAATGCCGCCAATTTGCCGATTACTGGGATATCTTAATAAACAATTTCATATTAAACATTAATCGTCGAAGGATATCGTTCGTCGCAAAGTTGCCGAGCAAAGAAAACTTGCGCACGCGTAGAAAACTCTGAAACTTGTCGTTCGATTAATCGTCGTTCGATTACTGATCGGAATAAAAAACGTTATCAGCGGAGCATGATAAGGGACGCGCGAGTTTTCGTTTCACTCGCGGTCCCGTTCGTTCGTCGTCGAAGGAACGCGAACTCCTGGCACGGAGGTCCTCCACGAAATTGTAATAGCAAAACAGGTGAATAGAACGAACGCTTAGATTTCTTCTTGTCAACCTAAAAACTCTCGCGATTTCATAACGCGGTCACAGCTATTTTCTGTGATGCTATCTCGTCGTCTTTCCTCTACATCGGTTCCTTTCTCTCGTTCGTCAGTAGGCCAGCGGGCATTCTCGGGAACAGCTTTCCAATACGTTCCTTGCGTGGCTTCCAATTTCTCGTTGCAGTTGCCATCTTTGTGAAGTTGCCAATGTCGCGACGTCCTCTTACCGGAAGAGCCGGGAAGAAACGATCCCGCGGCAACCATGTACAGTCGTTTCTCCGTAATTCGCGCTCGGATCGCGCGCAAAAATGGCCAATTTGAGAAGAGCAGATACGANAACTTTTCAGCTGTCCGCTTTGTTGATACGCCGTCGTTTGGAACTGTTGCGACCGTGCTACTTTCCTATTCGACGGTTCTTCGTAAAACGCATAATTATATATAATAATATAATATTTGTATATATAAAACGCACTATATGGCATTATCGCGATATAATAGATCTCCTTGAACCGAACGATTTTTGTTAATCAAGTTTTAGTCGAGACACCCTGTACAATACACGT